TTAATATCCTTATAGCTAGGCTCTTTAGGCTTTATAAGCTTATTATTAGTGTTATACTTAATATTAAAGTTAATATAGTTCTAAAGATCCTAGCTTATAGCGAATTTTTTAATAATAGAAATCTATTTATACTAATTAGTTAGGCCGGTTAAGGTGACTTTTTAGGAAGCCTCTATAGCGTTAGATTTTATTTTAATAGTTATATAGCAATTTTAAGCGTTTTTAGACGTTTTTGCTAGTTTAAATAGCGTTTTTATTAATATAGTAGATTAATATAAATTTCTGTGCAGAAGTTGCTTTTTTTTATAGTAAATAGCTTGTTATATAAAAGCTTAGTTAAATAGGTGCAAATAAGCGCAAATTCTATTAAATAATAATAAAGTTTAGAAAAGTAGGTCTAAAGTAGGTCTACAGTAGGTTGCTTAATTAAATACTAAATTTTAATTAGTTAGAGGTTTAGCACTAAGCCTAAATAGAAATAGCGTATTCCTAATAAGGTATAGTGTGTAGCGTAGAGCTTGCAGCAACTAGGCTTATAACTGTCGGCGGAAAATTGCAAGGTTAACTGCACTACGCAAAAGTAGAACGCGCTCTAACGATTAGAGACGCAAATTAACCTTATATTACTGCGCAATTGTACACAGCGCATGCACCCCTATTTTCTGGCTAACATAGTCTAGCTTAATACTAGCTAGAGAATTAAATAATAGTATAAACTGCTATAAGAAGATTCTAAGTTAGTTAGAGAAAATTATAGTATTAGTTGCTACTATAGCTATATTTATAGTAAAGTTAGTTTAAATTCTAAATAAGTATACTAGCTATATAGCTAAGATAAAGGCTTTACTTATAAGTATAAATAAGTATAGCTTTATAGTAGAATTCTAAGAGAAGTATATAGGCAGATCTAGAGCAGCTATAAGTAGGTATAGTAGTAACTCTAGCGTATAGAAGTAGGCTTAAAGAAGGAAGAGTTACTAGTTAACTTAATTAAGAAAGAGCTCTTAATCTATTAATTCTTATTGTGTCTAGACCTTGAGTTTCCCTGTATTAAGTTAAATTAAGCTGTAGGCTCTACCCCTAGTAGTGCTCTTCTGTTAATTTCTTTAAGTTTTAGCCTTACGACTATACTCCCCCTCAAGCCTAAGCACTTTAATTTCTTATAAGGTGCTAAATAAGTTAAAAAATAACATTATCTAATCCCTAGTTAGCATAGTTTATAGTTAAGACTACAATAGTATTTAATTGTCTTTAATCCCCTAACTTTTATTCCTAATTAATAAAAACATCCTTAGCAAATGCTTTTGCAGTAGTTAGTCTTGAATAAATCTAAGAATTTCACCTCTAATAATTAAATACTAATGCTCCTAACTGTCCCTATTAATTATTATAGCAGTCCTAGAAACTAACAAAATAGAACTATACATTTTATTTTATTATTTTATGCTAATATATTTAAGCATAGGCCTGCCTAGAGCACTCTAATTTTTTTAAAGTAAAAGTCCTGTTTCCCTGCTACGCCTAGTAAAGAGCATAGAGTTCTACAGAGGGAAAGGCCTAGCTAGACTAGTACATATAGTAAGGCAGACCGGCCAGCTAGGCCTAAGGTTTAACTACAAGCTTTTTAACTACAACAACTTTAATATACGCTATTAGAGCTGGAATTACTACAGCTGCTAGCACTAGACTTGCCCTCTAATTATTCCTTATTAAGGGATTTAAATTGTACTTATTCTAATTATAAGACTTAAAAGAGCTCTATATTAGTATTTATTGTTACTACCTCCCTAAATTAGAATTAAGTAATTTGCGCGCTTGCTGCCTTCCTTAGATGTAGTAGCTGTTTCTTAGGCTTCTTCTCTAGGGTTAAGCCCTAACTCTTTATTACCTATTGCAACTATATTTAGCTACTACTTAAACATTAAAAGTTAATAGGGAAGAAATTTAAATAAACTATTGCTAGCATAAGGCTGTATAATTTAAGAAGTTATTATAAATTACTAGAGAGCTTAGAGAGCATTAGTTTTTAATTTAATAAATATATCTCTTCTAAAGTTAGGATTTTTAGCATATATTAGCTCTAGAATTACTATAGTTATCTATATAGTAAGGTACTATTAAATAAACAATAACTTATATAATAAGCTATTTATAGTTTTGCTATATAATTGCTTATACTTAGACATACATAGCTTAATCTTTAAGACAAGCATATAACTACTAGCAGAATTAACTAGGTAACTATCGTTTGCTGAGGTTAGCCTACTAATACTATGTTCTAGGCGCTAGAGAGATTGTCTAAGTCACTAGTAGGCACCTGTAAGGGCGCTGCGCGCAGGAGGTCCAGCCGGCTAGTAGCCGGGCGAGACTGCCCTGCGGCAAATCTACTTTCCCCCTCTAGGTTCCCTAGGGCATCCGTCTACGCGCACTACGCGCCTGCTGTAGGCAGTGCAGTATAGGCGCCCTAGGAGGAGGACTTAGCGGGCAGCGCCAGCTATTTCGGCGTCTGCTGCCTGTAGTTGCTACCTATTGCTCTAATTAACGGCGGTGGCCAGCGGCTAGTCGCCCACAGAACCCATCTAGCGGGCAGTGCAGAGGCAATGCCCCCTCACTGCGCCTAAGGTATAACTAGTATACTGTGCAGCCTGGGCAGCCGGTTTTGTGGAGTTTAACGCCCACTAGGAACGCCTAATTGCCTGCAAGAGCAGAGTCTCTAGGCGTGTTTACAGGGCCACTCGGTGGGTTGTCTGCAAGATAAGGTACAGAGGGGGGCGGCCGACTAGCGCTGTAGCGCTAGGGGCGGGCACCCCTCCTCACAGACCCTCCGACTCTATCGACGGTCCGGCCACGCTACTAGGCGCTTGTAGGCTACTTTTTATTTTCCGCAAAATTTATTTATATAGGAAAACAAAAAAATCAAATTACGCCTATACAACTAAAACGCCTACACTTACACATTTTAATCTTCTAGGCCTAGACGACTCGCCGTGCTCCTGCGACCCGCCTGCGACCGTTGAAACGCCCTAGAACGACCGCTAGGGCGAGGAAATAGCGCGCAAAGGTGCCCTATAGGGTAGGCGCCTACCCTGCACCTACCCTGCACCTACCCTGCACCTACCCTGCACCTACCCTGCACCTACTCTGCACCTTAGCGCCCACCCTGCTCTGTGCCTGCTCTACTCTGCACCTACCCTGCACCTACCCTATACCCCCGCAGCACACAGATTACTAGTCGGAGAGTTGTTGCAGAAATGCGTAGATAGGTCTAGAGTGAGCGAGCGGGTTGGTCGCGTGTAGATATAGAGGCTAGGCATGTAGTTGTTATAGTGGGAGTGTTCCCCCCTGCTAATGTAATAGTACAGAAGGTCTAGTTTTAGTAGTTATTAGTTCCTCAGCCTACAACACTTAAGTTAGGGGATATCCTTAGTATAGATGTATTTTTTAGCCTCTATATAGTCCTCTACAATATTGTCTACTTGTAATAACTTGCTTATTATTGTTCTAACGCAGAGGACTCTATCACCGTAGATACGTGCGCTATACTTGCTGCGGCGTGCTCTAGGGTAGGCGGCTACCCTACACCCCTCCGCTGCAGGGTAGGCCCTACATAGTCCTCCACTCACGCCGCATCGGATCGCGCCCGTGGTTTACGGCGTTTTTTGGCGCACAGAGGCCCCCCCGTCACAGAACAGACCTAGACTACGACACTGTTTTCGCGGCAGAATTATAGTATATTAGGTTGTCAACGGACGGTGACTCCTTTGCATTGTTGAAGCCGCCCGCCCGCCCGTTCCATTCCCCGTGTGAGTCGACGACGACTCGACGTCCAGGATGCGTCGTCCACGAAATGCTGCGCCATGTTTTCCCGGGGCACGGGATGGGGGAACTGTCCGTCCCGTATGAAAAACGGCAACAACTTCTCCCCTCTCAAGTCAAACACAACAGCCAGGGTATGTGTGCAAAAGAGCAAGCCGAAAAAGCAAGAAACAAGTCGGAGAAAGCTGCCAAACGAAAAAGGACCAGTCCTCCATGGTGAAATCAAGGAAAACGCCGCCCGAATCCTCCCCTTGGAGGGCAATGCTCCCAGGGTGCAGTAGGAAATGCGTCTCGTCGACGTCAACCCGCTTGCCCGTGCTCCTGATAACGCCAGTCTGATGTTGCGCAGATGCAAAGAATGATATCATATCGCTCATATGCGGCGGGTCATGGAAGAAATTCGTCATCTGAAAAGTAGCAAGTTCCCGTGGTTTCGCCTTGTGGACTCACGCCTTCCGAGGACGTGGCGCGTGGAGGCTCCGAAGGAGTCATCGACGGGCCATGTCCAAGGGCCGCCGTCGAAGGCGCCATGGTCTCTGAACGACGGCGGCTAATCATGGAATCGCCTTCGCTGTCGCCGCTGCTACTGCTCGCGACGCTCTGCGGTGGTGAGGGATGGGATGCGCCCCAATCCAGCTGCTTTCCGGCCAACTGCATATCTACCATGGCATCGGACAGGCAGTCCTCGTCGCACAGTGGCATGATTCGATAGTTGAGGCTCTCCATAATGCATCGCTCGGTAGCATTGAGCTGGTCGTGTGACCATGTGCCGTGCCCCCAATCATTGCAATAATACTGGGTTGGCCGCTGAGGGTCCTCGATGAACTTGACGGCAATGACAAGCGCTGCAAGGATGATGAGCTCCGGTGGCACGGAGTCGATGTGCAGCATCTGGTGCTGCTGGTGCTGGTACAGGATAGGAGTCGCAGGGATGGTGTGTCGTTTGCTTGTTGACGAGGCGGCCAAGGATCCTGGCAACAATGGACAGGAGAGCCGCCACGCTCGGGCGAACCTCTTGTCTAAGCTGTCGAGAATACACACTGCGAGGGCAACAGTCTCGATGGGCAAGTCTGCGCGGCTCAGAACAGCCTGTACGGTGAGCACAGAGGCCGTGGCTAACGAGGCTGACGAGGGAATGAGGTTCACCAGGTGAATGGCCGGTCCTGTTGGAAGTGCTCTCCGCGGTCAGCAACACATGTGGTCAGGTCATGTGCCTCGAGAGGCAAAAAGCAACAGTGTCACTATGACGGGCGACGGACGGGACCTGGACATGCCTCGAAATTTCGCCATGAGAGGCTCTCCATCTTCTAAGCTGCCGGAAGCTAATGTGCTCGGCGATTTGGCTTCTCTGTAATATGACGGGGGAGGTGTAGGGAGGTTCGAAAGCGGTCGATAGGTTAGGTACGTGTTGCCGTCGTCCGCCATGGCGGCAGCAAGCTCGTGGTTATCTCGACGCATTCGTGGCAATGTGTAGCTTCTCGGCTCCTCCATCACGGCTGATGCTCAATTCAGAATGCAGGAAGGCTTCCCCCATGTTTTGACAGCAGAACGATCCACCAGCTTTTCCTCTTGCCCCAGCTTCCCCTCTTCCCTTGTCGCGCTGCGCCGGGCTGCGCTGCCGCTGCTGCTGCTGCTCTGTGGCGGATTCGAAGCGGTGACAGCGGCTGCTCACTCTGCAGAACAGGGATGGGATCACGCGAGCGCCACGAGTTACAACCCCCTTCACATGTGAGTAGCGAGAAGACGAATCAAGTTGTATGTAATCAGGGAGAGAGAAGGGGGCGGTGGTCGTCTATATTCTGCGTGCGGTACGGAGTAGAAACAGGCGAGCCGGGAGGAAGAGACGACGAGGTGGTGGGAAGGTTAAACTTTTGACAAATGCCGTTTGCTCAGGACGACATGGCCAGTGACAGGCCGACAGACATGTTCCTGAGACTTTTAGGTTGCACTCTTTACGTAGTGAGCTGGGACGGCCTTGTTGCGCTGTGCTGTGCTGTGCTGTGCTGTGCTGGTGGAGTCGTGCTGCTCAGGGGTTTGTTTTAGCCTTCCACTTCTCCAAGTGCGCCAGAGGCGTGCGGGTTGGAACTTGGACGCCTTGCTTGACTGACACCCACTCGGACGGTTTGTAGGCAGTTCGCAGAGGAGTGAAAATCATAGCCTCTTTGGGCCTGTCGTGGACTCGTGGGTGGGTGAACCGTCCATGAACCATCATCCATGGCGACAGCCAAGATCACAGGTGGTGGAGGCGGAGCCAAGCCCCGTGAGGTCCATTTTCTCCTTGGTTCCTTATGTCCCCCTTTCCATCTACCAAGCAATGGTGCCCCGGCCCATTTTTTCGCATGCTTGCCGAGCTCCGCACATGTGTGGCCTGTTGGTTGTTGATGTACAGAGTAGGTCCGTATTTTGGACGGCAAAGTGGCTCGGGCGAGAAGCATGGCCGTTCGAGTTCCCCTGGAATGGAAATGATTCGTCAGTGGACAAAGTCCACCGCAAACATCGGTTGCCAACGTCGTCGTCGGGTATCATCCGGTTGGTTCCATTGTGAGTGACACAACAAAGGGTTTTCATGCTGCTCGATCGAATATCATCGCGATGGTGTGCTTGGTGGTAACGGAGTATGACCAGGAGCTGCTTGAGGAGTGGATTCAGGCTGCGCGGTAATAGGGAATGCATCATTGAAGACCATCCATCACAGCCCGACCAGCCCGAATCCAACCGCAGCCTCCTGAAAATGGGCGACGCCGATTCGGCCCCAGCTTGCAAAAAAAGACCGGGAACCGCGTATGTACGGCGTACGGAGTACTCCGTACCGAGGGTGCTCTCCATCGTGTATCCCTGGTGATCAGTCACTGAAGCAGGTGGATGCGCCTCGTGTCTCAGATGGTGAGCTGTCGCCATCTCGCCCGCCCGTTGCGCATGTGCTGCCGTCGACGAGTCCTCCGAGTCCTCCGAGTTGCAGTGGTGATCTCGAAAGCTGTGTTTTTTGGGGCCGACCGACGCCACGCCGCTCGACTTCAGCCCGGGTTGATGGCCAGGCTTGGTCCTGACTGGCGTCACCGCGCAAGCGGCAGTCACTAGTTTCAGCTCCCGAAATAGTGCTGAAGTAGTGTCCGACTTCAGCGCGCGACACAGCCGCCCCCAAGGGAGCATGCCAATTTTGCCCTTGTACGACGATGCCGCCCGTTCCGCAATTGTCGTGTCGTCACTCACCAGACCAGGCGTGCTTGGCATCCTGAAGAGTTCACCCAAAACTATGGGCACCGGTGTTACGCATGCCGCCGACGCCATCAAAGTTTCGAGGCCGCAAGCAATCTTGCTGAATCTGGTTCCAGCCGTGTCCAGAGCCGGCGCCGCGCCGTTCAGGGGTTGGCCGACCTGGCCGACCTGAACCCCATTGTTTGGCAGCCTTGCCCAATTCAAGGCTCTCGGCCCGACGTCAAATCATGGACCGAGCCGGATCGCGTATTGGAATCTGGGGGTATCTACATCGCATCCGTGGACCGTCCACGGGCAGGCGAAACTGATGGCTTGATGCGTAGAGGCGGCCCAGGGACAGCATCATGTTGCCGCATGCGGAACCGCGAACTCTGCCCTTGGGCCTCCCTGTGCTTGGGCGAGTCGTACCGTGCTCTGTGGGATGCAGGCTCAGCGGCGGTTCCGGGCGACTTGGCTCGTGAGTTCATGCGCTCCGTCCGCAGAGGGCTGATGCAGGATTCAGAATTGCGCATCACGAATCACGATTCACGACACTGGAGCACGGCGGAGGAGCAGCCAAAGCGTTGCCGCACCTCGTCTCATTCGACCGACGGAAGGAGCGAGTCGAGACATTTCGACCTGGTGACGTCAGCCCGCCCGCTTATCGATTTCTACTCGGTACGGACTCGGAGTAACGTGACACGTCTGGGCAACTTCCTTTGGGCCGAATTCCTGGCATCGCCGACAGAATGTTTGGACAAACCAACCATGAACCATAAACCACGATCCAGGGCCAACGTCGCGACTCTCCCTCCAGAAACCCCCGACGCCCCCGAGAGTCGGATCCGTGGCGGCCTGAGCTGCTGCAGCCTCCGCAGTGCGCAGCTTCGCACTGCCGCCGCCAATGGTCCGATTGGCCGCTATACTTACCGAGCCAGCCAGCATGAGCATGCGTGTGAGCAACCTTTGGCCTCGACGCGTTGGAGGAGCCCTCCAGACGGAGCCGTTCGCGCTGACGCACAACAGCACCGCGGAAGAACCCGACTGTTGTCGCCACTAGGGAAGGACCTCGTGCGCCCAGGGCACCCTTCAGAACAACGTGTCAACTGTGCCACGCGGGACCAGAGGTTGTGCAATGTGCGCGTGTTCGGCGGCGGCTCGGATCATTGTGCCGGGAGAGGCGCCATTTGCCAGACCAACCGCAAGAGGAACACACGGCCGCCCTTGTAATACTAAACTGCCTCCAGGGAAGACACTTGGGAAGCCTCTAGGCTCTAGCGAAGCCCACCAACCCGCTGGCGTTGGGAGGCGTTCCTGTTCTCACCGAGCTATTGGGCTCGTGTCCAGTTATGTCATTTCATGGAGCGAGGGCCGAAATGGTTGGGCATGCCGGCAGCCAAAAGCCTTCTCGGGCCCGACAGCGCAGCGCCCATCTGCAACGCTCTTCAAAGTATCGGATCAGTGCCGCAGATGGAATGATGGGATGCCAACTGCACGAGTCCCCGGCGAATATGAACCACGGAGACGCCAATGCTGGATCCGAGCACGGCGTTGGTACCGATGGTGCGGGCGCTGAACAGATTCCAGATTCCCAAGGCAAAAGACGTTTAACGGGTTCCGAGCACTTGGGCACTGCAGAAGACCAAGGGCCAGCCGCGTCCCTCCCTTTCTCTGCTTGAGCAGAATCAACAGATAGCTCAGATCCTGCTGCCAGAAGTTGAACTTGCCGACGCCCTTGGCGTCATACACCTCGCTCAAAGACGGCGAGAGCACTCAAAGTGTCTGCTCGGACTTGAGACCTAGCAGTTTCATGTTTGAAGATTTGGTTCAAGACAATGATCAAGTTTAGTACAAGTGTTGAGGCGATTCAGCAACGTAGGGTGGAAACGAGGGACGAGCACACCCCCATGCAGTCTTGTTAGTTGGGAAAGCCCATTCTCATCACGTCTCTTCGACTGCCACCGCGGAAATCTCGTCTCCGAAACGAATGCACAGGCACATTCAGGAACCATTGAATTTTGCAGAAGTGAATGCATTCGGCGGGTAGAAAACCGGCCTAATACGAACTGCCAAGGGCATTTCATATGCCAACCGCGACGGCCATTGACGGCAATTGCATCAACACGTCTAAACAAGGCCAAGCCGGGAAATGTCCATTCCGACTCCCGAACTCATCTCCTCGGCACCAATACCCAGCCGGACGGGTGCTGTTCGTCCCAAGTTGACTGAACAGGGGCCGGGATGGTGAGATTCGGCAGTTGGATGGCAGATGACAACCAGAAGGAGTTTGGCTTGCGAAGATTTTCTCAACTCACTTACACATGGTTGCAGCGGTCAAAAACAATACGTCGGCTGCCGTTTTACTAGATCGAACCGAATGGTGAAAGACGTACACGTCTTGCCCGCAAAACTTGTCATGATTGCTCTGTAGCTTCATCGCCTGGATCGTCCATCAGCACGGAACATGCCACCTTCGGCCTTGGCCCATGAAGCCGAACTACAACGGCTCCACTGGCGCCAGTGTTTTCTCGTAGAAGAAGAAGACGACAACGACGACGACGACGACTGACGTGCCATTTTGTTTTGTCTGCCATAATTAGTAGTTTATATACATGTCTCGAACAGTGAAAGCGAAGGAACCTGAATGGACCGAGTCACGGCTTTCAGACAATGGTCAGAAGAGAAACAAAAACCAACAAACGCCATCCTACAGCTGCTAACAACTACCCTCCCTCAACCGTGCACGCCGCAGTAATGGTGCCGTCCCCGACTCCTAATATCAGTAAAATGGTCCCATCTCGGATGGATGCGGCCGAGAGGAAAATCGGGCCTCAGAGGGGGCGCAATCTAATCCCGCCAGGTTTCTAGCAGATGACCCTCCTTCCCGTTTACCACCGTTATTATCCGAGCGTGTGCAAGGTAAAGAAGACGTTGCAGTCTGGACGAGGAACCATGCCCGTTCCTGATGGCAATTGCAAACAGCGTTCTCCCCGACAAGTTGGCGCATCAACTTTTGCGGCATCCACACGATACTCTGCAGTCAGGCAATGGCCAGATCCTATTCGTGTTACTGGACATGGCTCTACAAGGGCAACCAAGGCACTCGACATGCAAAACTCTGTCCAACAAGTAACGAACCCAAGAGGACATTCCACCAGGGGAAGCGGGAGGGACCCTTGACGAAGGCTCTTTTTCGGTCTCCAGGAACCTTGGTTACCCGACGCAAACGTAGACCGGTGCGAGGAACTTTAATACAGCGAGGCAGGAAGCGTCGGCACCTTTCTAGGGTTAGAAGCAATCCGACATTTAAAGTTCGGAGACTGACAACGTGTGGAGGAGTCGAGTCTGGCCCGGACAGTAGTCTCGTTGAAGGTGACGGAGCAACCGGTTGATGTAATGTACCAGGACCTGTCGTTGACTTCCTTTTCGGCACGGGGGCCGGCAGAGCAGACTCATCCCATTTTTCCGGCCTCACCAACGCCCTGTTTCGCTGAACGTCCCCGTGGCTCGTCGTAAAACAGTCTCCGTCATCCGTCGAGGGTGTCTGGTCTCCAAGCCCATCCATCGGTTGATGGCTCAGCATGGACTACATGGCCCCGGGGCGTCTTGCAATGCGAGCCGCGGTCTGCATCAGACCCCCCCATATCTGCTGTCAAAACACCATGATTATTTTTTTCGCCAAGCCATCTGGCCGCACACGTCATCGTTCTGTCCGCTTCCGCTGCTCACTCTGACACGGCGGCCCTTATGGAACCCCAGCCATTCGCCCAACAAACCCCCGGGTTTCGGTACAGGACATTCCCTCCTCGTCCGTTGGGGCGCAGATTCGGCCAAGTCGTCCGCCACCTGATCAAATTGTACAATGCCATCCCGTGACCCGGCGGTTTCCCGCCGTCTCCGTCTCCTCCGCCTGCCCTTGTCGTCCACGACCACTTCGCCGTCGGCGTACTTGGTTCGGGGCACCGGGCACGGGAGCAGGTGCGGCAGTGCCACGACGAAAAAACAGGCGGCCAGCGTGGTTGCGAAGAGCGACGAGGTCATGCGTGACCTGGGGTGCAGAAGGGGCGGCATGGTCCCTCGCGGTTGCGTCTGAGCTCGGGATCAAAGGGACCATCGACGCGTTCAGTCGGGACGTCAGCGCGGGCGGATTGCGAGTCAATGGCAGCAGCCCGGCTACTTACATGACGAGTGCAGCATATTCTGGCCGCGGAAGCAATTGCGTAGACGGAGATGCGCGATGCGCGACAAGACGTCCTGCGTCGCCTTTGGGGGCGAAGAAAAAACGGGCGTCTAAACGGGCACCGACTACCGGTAAGTAAGGAACTCGATGATTCCGAGACGGCCTATTGGCTGGAATCGTCTCGACCAATAGCCGGAGTCGGCAAAACGTACATCCATCACCCATCCACATACGGAGAACTCCGGACCACCCTCTTTCCATCCCTGCAGCGCGCATCGTGGAGCAAGTTAAACATCTTTCCCTGTCCTTTCCTCCGAGTACCTGGCGTACGGAGTTGCGGGCATAAGCCACCACCGCACGAGCGAGCGAGATTAGACGACCTGCATCTGGCCCCGACGTCACCTGCAAACAAACAAACAAACAAACGCCTCCAACGACCCACGACACGCCGCCAGCGAGCAGGCGATACCGCAGACGCCATCCCTCCCAGCGGACGCTTCACGACCGAACATGATTGTTGCATTTGCATCCTGATCCTGCCGAGACTGCAACCGACCGCGGCGTCTCACGCGCGGCCCAAGGTCACCCACCATGAGCGATCTCGACAAGTGAATAGCCTCCCCGTCCCCGAACCGTCTCTGCTCGACCGCCACTGACGCTGACGTCGGACTTGCCAGGGCCATCGCGCAGCTGCGCGCCTGTCGACCCATCCCAGAGCCCCAAGTGCGAGAGCTGTGCCACCGCGCACGGGAGCTTCTCATCGAGGAGGGCAACGTGGTGACAGTGTCTGCGCCAGTCACGGTATGAACGATCAAACGCCCCTCCCAGACGGGCCGCCGAGGCTGACCAGGGGCCTAGATTTGTGGCGACATTCACGGCCAGTTCCACGACTTGATGGAGCTATTCCGAGTTGGCGGAGACGTCCCCGACACCAACTATTTATTCATGGGTGAGAAAGAGGCCACACGCGTGGCATGCCCCGGGTGCTCGGCGTCGCTTCTTGTCCACGGCACTGACGCGGCCGCGTGTAGGCGACTTTGTCGACCGGGGCTTCTATTCCCTCGAATCATTTCTTCTTCTTCTATGCTTGAAAGTACGATACCCCGACCGCATGACGCTCATCCGCGGCAACCACGAGTCCCGTCAAATCACCACCGTCTACGGCTTCTACGACGAATGCCTGCGGAAGTACGGCAGCGCAAATGTATGGCGATATTGCTGCGATGTGTTTGACTACCTAGCCCTCGGAGCCATCGTCCTCGGCGCATCCAACACGCTGTCCCCGGCGTCCGGACCAGCAGACGAAGAAATCGAGATCGAGGTGTGCGACCAGAACGGTTCCACCATGAGCCGGTTCCCTCGCCAGCGGCAAGAGCCTTCTCGGCCCGGCAGTTCCCGAGAACAAGGCGCAAACGGCGGCGGGGGCAGTTCCGCCGCCGGGCACACTGGACCTCCCGGCTCGGGCGCCTCGGGCAGCAGTAGCGGCAGCGCGGGCAACCCAGCCGGAGCCGTGCTTTGCGTCCACGGCGGCCTCAGCCCGCTGGTCGAGTCGGTGGATAAGATCCGGCTGCTCGACCGGAAGCAAGAGGTCCCCCACGAGGGCCCCATGTGCGACCTGCTCTGGTCCGACCCAGACGACATCGACGGCTGGGCACTGTCACCGCGCGGCGCAGGATTCCTCTTTGGCGCCGACATTGTCAAAGTCTTCAGCCACCGAAACGACCTGAGCCTCATAGCTCGCGCGCATCAACTCGTCATGGAGGGCTTCAAGGAGATGTTCGACGCCTCCATTGTGACGGTCTGGTCGGCGCCTAACTACTGCTACCGCTGTGGCAACGTTGCCGCCGTCCTGGAGCTCTCCGAGGACGAGTCCGGCACGGGCGTCTTCTCCCGCAGCAACGGCGACGTGAACAGGAGTGATGGCGGGCGAGGGGTCATGATGGAGTCGGGCGGGATGGCGAAGCGCGGTCCCGCAAGGCGCTACCGGGTGTTCCAGGCGGCGCCGCAGGATTCACGGGGAATGCCCGCCAAGAAACCAGTTGCAGATTACTTCTTGTAGACAGACAGACTGCGCGGGGCGAGTGCTTGAGCGCCTTGGCAGGGGGCGCTCCGCATGGATCAAATGTACCAAGGATGGATAGATGGTCAGCTAAGCCGGACGGCTCGGAATAGTCGCGGCGTCACGAAATGTTTTGGCAATCTATCCCACCGTCAGCCTGGTCTCGTTTTGCTCCCAGGACGGGCAGGGCCGTGCATTGCATGTTGAGCAGCGAACGGTACATGGAACCCCTGCCATGTGTCTGTGTCTGTTTTCCGAACAACGGCTGCCAAGCAACACGTCAAGTCCGCCTGTCCAGACGCGCGCGATGACAGAGTCGGCTGTCGAAGCTTGACAGCAGCAGACGACCTTTGGCAACATGAATGACTGACAGACTGACAGACAGATATACGACAACAGGCCACCCGCGGCAATGCACTCGCGCCTGTTCAAAGACGGCCCTTGACGGAGGCGGCACTCGGATCCGTAATGTGTGCCTCGAGACGCGTCGAGTCAAGCCGAGTCCAGTTCGTACCGCCCGCCAGATCTGCCTGGCGTCCGTCAGCAGCCGGCAGTTGGTCCGAGGGGGTGTCCGAATCCTCCGCGCACCGGAGCGCGGACGAGATTCCGTCTCACCAGTCCTCGGCCCTCCGTAGATGGCGTCGCGCGTCAGTTCGTGAGGGAGGGGCAGGGGCAGCAGCAGCAGCAGCAGCAGCAGCAGCAGCGGCGGCGGCCCGTCCCAGGCCTCGTCCTCGGCAGGGCGCTTGGTGTTTGTGTTTCGGGTGTCGTGTGTCGTGTGTCGTGTTCTTGTCCCGCATACTCCGTACTCCGTACTCTTTCTACATCCTTGGCAGAGGGTTGTTGCCTGGCACTTGCCTGTACGATTCGACGTGTCACTATTCAGAAACCCAGATGCCGGCTCGATCAACCAGGATGCGGCGCAGGAGCGGCAACTTCAAGCGCCTGCGGGCGTGTGCGTGCGCCCTCGATGCGCCGACACCCTCGATGCGAAAATTACGTACAACCAACGGCTTTGCGGCTGCGAGCCAGAGGCACAGCAACGGACAAGGTCCTCCGTAGGCAGCGCTTCTCCATGATGCAAATTCCAAATAATGGTTTCTGGAAGATCCCTTCCGGGTTGGGCCACATCCCAGCCTGCTGTGCCGCGGTGCTGCTGTCATGTCCAACCCAATGAGGCTTCATTCAAGCGCCATTGTCACGCCATGCTCGCATCTTCTCGATGAACTGCCCACAACGGAGCGCCTTTGACTTTCATCGCCTGCTAGGCTGGGCTGGGCTGGCTGGGCTGGTCGAGGAACCATTTCCCACCTGCCGTCTGTCATGTTTTCTCTCATGTACGACAGAGGGGCGTGCGTCTTGGCTTGCTTTGTCCGGCCGGGTCCTAGTCCTGGTCCTGTTTCCCTTTGCTGGCACGACCCCGTCACGGTCATGGTTTCTTGGCACAGAGTACGGAGTGCAGAGCACGGAGTCGGAGTACGTACGTACGTACATACATGCGTACATGCATGCTCCGTACCGAGTACACCCTCGTATGATTGCCATGGTGGATATCCGTACTCCGTACCAGCGGCCACACACAGGAACAGTTTGGACACGCCTGGGATTCGTGCTGGGACCAGCGGAGGTGGAGCTGGCGGTGCTACTCCGTACACGAGCTTAAATCATAAGTTACCAAAGCCGTGCCTTGGCGGCGGCATGGATCTCCAGCAGATTCCATTCCAGCTGTCTGTTTGGTCGTGAGCCTCCGTCACCGCCCCTGCATCGTGCCCGTCCGCCGACCTGGCCAGCCTGGTCACGGTCAAAGTGCTTGTGCACCCGCCTCGCCCTCGCTGCCTCGGCATCCGCGACGCCGTGGGCTCTTGTTGGGCGGCATATCAAGACCTGCATGTACCAGCCAGCCCGGAGGGGTCGCCGGCAACGACGCGTTCGGATCCGGAACGGAATGACGTCGCGGATCAGGATTCAGGACAGCCGTCGAGACGACTTGTGTCTTTGTATCTCCCCTGCGTAACAAATCATTTGCCTCAGCGCATATATGATATGGGTAAACCCGTGAGCAACTAGCAAGTGGCTGTGACACTTGGTCGCTGACGGGCAAAAGAGGGACCGTTGATGGCAGACCTTGATTCGGATGAGCCACGGGGTGATGTTGCAGTCGGGATGCTTCATGCTCCCCTGGCAACGTCGACTGTTCGTGAGCTTTTGGGGAAGCGCAGGGACTTGAACCAGACCACGACGACGCTCAGATGGCAAATACAAGCGCGTTGGTCGCACCTTGGAAAGCTGTTGAATCAAACACGGAAGCCGTTGCAACATTGTGTAAAGCCGCGGGGGAGGCATCATCATCATCATCATCATCTTCTTCTTCTTCTTCTTCTCGACTTGCATTTTCGCCCTCCGCTCTCCGTGACTTGGTTTTCTTTGCATCACCAGAGGTTGCGGCTTGAACCTCAGCTGGCACTGCATCCGCATCCGCGTCTGCACCTGCATGTTCGACGTCCGTCATGTTGGGTGAAATTGGACCTGCTCAGCTGTCATGCTGTCATCAACCCATGTCTCCTAGTATGCTTTCTTTGAGTTTGAGACAGCCTTTTGTCTGCCTGCCCTTAATCTGTCCCCCTAGCCTCGAAGCCCTGGCCCTGTGTGAGCATGTCGAGCCCTGAGTCCTTGACCCATGGCTCTTGGCCTGCATATGCGGAGTACACTGGATGGAGAAGATATAGTTATTCAGCTTGTCCCTGTTTTTATACGCATTGGCCACAATACCGCAGGGCCACTCAGTCGCTGACGGGTAGTATCGCCGCCCCTTGTTTTCAGGGTTTGTCCCGAATCATCGAGGTTCCAAGTTGGTCAATGGAACCGACGCTTTGGCGGGGAGGTTAAATTGAATCCAATGGTTTGGGCGCAGATCGACAGCTATCTATTTCCAGGTGGACTGACTTTCACTTTGAGGACCTGACATGGTGCCCTCGTCATCAAGCTTATTCTGTTCTTGGTAACCTCTGCCACTCCTCGTCTTCTTCGCATGCGAGACAACAACAATCATGACGTCGTTTGACCGTATCAGCCTTTTCGCTGATCGATGTCCTCTTTGGTCTCCTCGTATGCTTTGACCCGGTCTCCATGTCGTGCTGACTCCGGTGCCAACTCCCCGTGGCGTCTTCGCCACGCAACTTCGTCCAGTTATTGTTGCAGCCGTGTCAACGGCTCTCGTCCTCATTGCGACTCAAACTGACTCCAAAGCAATAGTCTATCGCATCTGGGTCCTTGCTCAGTCCAGGCATTTGGAAACAAGCCGCAATGGCGTCCTGCTTTCCATCCGCCCCGCATATCCATCTTCGTATCTTTGCACCGGTGCGGATGCCAGAAACATTTTCTGTCATTGACGGCACAGTCAAGTTCCTGTGGCCCTGGTCGTGAGATTAGACACCTGTCCAGGGCCATTACCCGACTTGTATGCCGTCCCTGCGGCTTCCTGACTCAATCATGCAAGAGTCGGCTTCTTTTGCCGGAGCTTTCCTCTGTATGCCTCGTAGTTCACGCCTGCAATTGTATTGCTCCAAGCTTTTGTGGTCAATCCGTTCTCCCCCCTTTCCTATCCCCTCGGCCCATTCAGCTTAACAGGCTTGCGTTTCATTGCCGTCACACCATCCATGTTGCCCCGGGCTCATATTTGGCTCAAACTCTTCATTCCGCTGATTTCATCTTTAAGCCCCGGTGCGCGGAGATATCGACGGCTCCGCCACGTCTGGCACATGCGGAGCATCTGCAGTACCTGCAGTTCTTGTGTGTTTTACATCGTTCAGGGGGTTCCCGGAATATTCTTCTACTGCGCCATACTGTCATCATGTTTGTTCATCCAGTCCACGGTCCTTCGATGCTCCTCCTGAATCGTCTGCGCCTGAAATAGTAAAAGTCATGTGCTGAATCAATCAAAGGTAAAATAAAGGGGGGACAGGAGAGGAGCGCAGTTGACAAGTTGTCTTTTTGGACTTTACACTTTTTTCCCCTAACAGTCGATTCTTGATCTGGTCGGATGGAGAGCTTCTCGCTGGCCAAGGAAAATTGACCGACTTCAACTCTGTTTCGTAGTCCGTCAAGTTGCACGAGCTCAGTCCAGCGAGACTCGCCAATATTATGCGTCTTTGTGAGTAGCGGCCAGCAAGGCGGCAGAATGCTCAAGTTTTCATTTTGCTGCTTGATCCGGCTTGCGGTGTTCTTGAATCTTCCGATACCACGGAACTTGTTTCCCAATCCTCACTTTGTATCCTTGTTTGGCTCATTCAATTACCAGGCTGTTCCGACGCTGACTTGCCGCTGTACTTATCGCTCATTTCGTAATAGAGGCACCCTTGAGAGTTGCTTTTAATGGGCAAAGAGGAAGTATCATCCTCTGACAGCCTTTTGTTGTTACCCTAGGAACGGGGGGACACTCGAATATTCAACTTGTGGTACTTCTGCGCCATGACGTTCAAACAAAGGGTAATAATTATATTGAATTTTGCGGTTACAGCATCTCGGACATGCTGGCGTCTGAATGCAGCTTGTTCGGCTTATTATCGTATTATTACTCCAGTCTTCACCTGCCGGCCAGGCCTTCGAGATACGTGCTTTTCCATTCTCCAATGCTGGTAGTAGTATTGATTTTTTTTTTGATCCAAATTCATTGCCATTTTTGCGCTAGCTCGGAATGCACCTTAATTTTCTTGGAGTCACGCACATTTCGCATGTATGGGTATGCTTGCCAAGCACTTCCCAAGATTCGCCTGATTCATGATGCTGTGGGACAAGGCTTTCATCGAACCTTAAAAATTTCCACCGCCTCATTCGATGCATATCCCGCCTTGGAGAGTGACAGAATTCTCTAACTCTTTCACTAGTGTCGCGACCCTTTTAACGTAAATGTACTAGCCAGAGGCCTCGAGCCACCAGCGGGCCGTTGGAGCGCAGCTCCAACCTCATGCTTAAGTTAAAGCCTTTTCTGTTTCTGTTGGTCGTGG